CGAGCAGTGGACAAGTTGAATTGCTGATACACTCCTCCTATGCACTCAACCATTACATATGCAAATGCAATATATATGCAATGTGAAACGAAGCCTGGTTATTGCATAGGCCATGTTTGTGCCCCGAGCAGAGCCAGGCGTTGAGCTGAGTCACTCAAGAGGCGGGGTGATGACTGACCTGTGTGGGCTAATGCCTCCCGAAAGCCACCACGGCCCTCTGTGGCTGGTGTGAGGAGGACTCACCCACCCTCCTAAAATGGCACCCACTGCATCCTTATTTTCAATTTCGTGCCAAGACGCGGCGCGAGGAGGCCAAGCCTTCCGTGCGGTGGTCGCATTTCACAGGACCCTGGGACTGTTGTTTGAACCAAAGGTTGTAGAGATGGGAATGAGAGAGAGAGAAAAAAGTATATATTTTGCTGTTAAACATTTTTTCTAATACGTTTCTTTCACTAGTTTTTCTCAACTGTGAGTTGTGCTGATTCTGAGAGTATTGAGATTATGGTAAGCGAACAATTTTGGGGTGAGGACTCCCAGGGCAGCCTGTCGTTTTCTTTATCATTATGTACAAAGGGAGAGAGTGAAAAAGCTCGATGTGAACCTTACGTGCCAATGTTTCTAGGTAACACTTGTTAGCTACTGTGTCTGAATCATTCATGTTGACGATATTTGAAGGTGTTGCAATTGTTTTACGTGTGAAAATGGATTATCAGTGTCTCCTTTGGATTTGTGTACTTAACTGGATTGGGATTGAATTCAAAGCAATAAAGTAAGATCGCTCTCAGTGCACCAGACCAGGAGTGAGCGCGTCAGTGATGAAGGGAAAACTTGATAGACGTGTGGATTGGTGAATGCTGTAATTGGCCGTTTTCTACGTTAAGATTACGAAGGATTTTCATTACGATGATAAGGGATACTGCAGCATTTTTTCTGGTTATTGTTGTGATGTATTTGATTGTTCCTGTTCCAGTGAGATGTTGTGATCTTTGTTTTCATTGATACTTTTTTAATATGGGATGTTTGTACTCATTATCAACGAAGAAAATGAGATTGTATGGTAGATGTGTAGACTAAGATTGATTTTTACTTGATATCATTAGTTAATTTGATAATTTTTACAATGATACTTATGGCTCTAGTGTAGACTCCCAAAGACAAAAACACATGCAGTATTTCACAAAATTACCACAATAAGAAATTACAATTAAGCGAAACAAATGTACATCAGACCAATTCAAGATATATCTTTTGAACTGACATTTTGCACAGTCACACAGGAAATTATATTTTTGGAAAGATTGTACTATTAATCTTTAAAACAAAAAGATACTAATTATCATTCATACTTTAAAAAAAAAAGCTAATAATGAAGGGCAGCATTCCTTGCCAACAGACAGGCATCAAGTGCCACTCATCCTGACGTGCCAGTCCTTGTGACACCCCCCCCCTTACCAACCCCCCCTTGGACGTTGTACTGCGTGTCCCTGATTCAGTGTCGCCCCTTTGTCCCAATGCCTTTCCTGGGCAAGTGGTGTCAACTCTCTTGTATTTAATACAACCGTTTGCTCATGAACGTGAATTCCCTATATATATGTATAGATGCATTTGTATAAAAACCAGGTTTTGTTATGGATGTTTAGACGGTAATGAAAACAATTAAAAAATAAAAAAGGCTGTAAGTGCACTCTTTGTGGTGTGTATAAAAGGTATCGTTTCTTATAATGGTGTATTTCTATTAGAATTAAGCTTGCTTGAATGAGCTTAGACGTATCAAGAAGAAGGAGCGGACGAAATATCATACTGTAACAATGTTGTGTAACAAATAGGAAAGGGTTAAATTAGCAATGAAGAAATGATGGGAATTTAAAGAGGAGAGTGTGAAAGCACAGATTCTGAGAACAGATTCTGGACCAGAGTCACAGTTGACACCACTAATCCAAGGTTGTAGTTACCTGTCAGAATATCCCCAGCCGCGGAAGCCACCTGCAGAAAATTTCCACAGAGAAACCCCGTCAACCTGGAATCTTCTTTTTTCATTTTATTCATCATAAAAGCCACAGTTTGCTCATATCATTATGTGATTCTTTGGGGTATCTAACCAAAAAAAAAAAAAAAAAAAAAAAAAAAAAAGAATAATGATAATGAAAGAAAAAGAAATAAGGTTTACTAAATGCAATCAGTTTTTGGAATATTTCATACGTACACGTCACTACATATATCTCTTTGTCGGAGTATCATGGTAATGAAGCAATAAATAAACTACTCCGTTAATTGACATTTCACTCAGCAGTTGGGATTCCAGGAGGCATAAATTTATTCTGGTAAATAGGAGGCTTTTTAAATAAGGTCTGTAATGGATCCTAGTTGTTAACTAATAGCTAGTAAGTTCTGGAGTGGCTTCCAGCTCACCTTTTAAAAACAAAAAAAAAAGTTTTTGTTCAAACAAAGAATGGTTGTCAGTTTCCGTGTTAGGAGGTTTAGCCGAATCCTGTAGTTGAGCTCACTCCCATGACCCTAGAGGGATCATGAGGGGAATCCGAATGTGTAGGAGAGGTAATTTTCAACATTTAGGTAAACTCATGACACAGGTCAATTCGGGGTGTCGAGTGATAAAAAAAAAATCATAATGCGTAAAAGAAAAACAAAATGAGAAAAGGAAAGATCAGAGAAAGTGACAAATTCTCTTTCTCTCGGTTTTGCTTTTCATCTTTTTTTTTATCACAAGGAGCTTCGAATGTTGTGCCATTGTTAGGAATCTACGTAGTTTCCTCAATTAGCCGTGTTCTATCGTGTTTTTTGTACCAGGCTGGGAGGTGAAGCGCGGCACATCAACGTATAAATAAGCAAACTAATTGAGTTTGTACGGAATGATAGTAGGATGTCTAGTTTTTGTTTTTGTTTTTTCATAGACTAATCTGAATGGTTCAAAAATTGATAAAAAGGTGTGGTGAGGATATTAAATGAGTATATGTGAGAAAATGATAATTCTTGCATATAAAAAAATAAATAAAAATCAGCTCCACAAAAAATAAGAAAATTAAAGATATATATACTACAGGGAAACAATTATACACAAGTTACATTAAAAACGGTTTTGTTATAGTTCTGAATCGAGTGAATCTTGTGTAGGGTGACCTCAAATATTGAGTGTAAGTGACGAAGATAAACAAATTAAATTTAGTGGATATTTTGTTACCCATAAAAAAATGATATGAAATATCAATCGTGTTCAAAACTTAAAAAGAAAACATTTACTTGTATGTGTCACTGTAACTATATTTCATAACAGTTGAAATTACTACCATGATGTATTGTTTGCTTTCGATTAACGTAATTATGTTGAGAGGCAAAAAAGAAATATTCAATTATTGGCACTGAAAGGCTTGAATTATTGCAAAGTCAATCATACAGTAAGATATATACATACATAAATTATATATGTGTTATATATATACATATAT